TTTTTTTTTTTTTTTTTTTGCTTCTAACCATTTCTTGATGCTACAGTTCAGATTATTAACAATTTTAAACAATGGTAAAATCTGACTTTAAAAAAGTTCATTTTAGTTCAAAAATACCCAAGCAACCAACCAAATAAACAAAAACATGTTTTGAGGTCCTGGTGTATTTTAACAAAGCATTGTTTTGGCCAGTACTAGTTTATAAGAAGATCTAAGAATAATGTCATCTTTCAAGGGACGCCCAATCTGGAGGCATGAGGTTGGGGGGAGCTGGATAAACAGACCACAGATCATAATGCAAATCAGATTTTGAAAATCGGGTTTTAATGAAGGAAAAGCAAAGTGTTATGGAAGCATGAGATAGAGAGCAATTAATTCCAAACAAGGAAAGAGGCCAAGGTGTCCAGTAAATGTTCCACAGGAAACATGCATTAGAACTCAGCCTCGAAGCTTCTGCTGTCTATAAAAGGGTGGGAATGAGGCCTCCATTTCTCTGTACTTCACAGAGAGTGAATATCATGAACGAAAGCAAAGAGATTTTAGCCTGGCATTTAGGCCGTCTGCCGTCCTAGCTGCATGGAAGGCCGAGGGAGGAGGATTGCTTGAATGCAGGAGTTTGAGGTTGCTGTGAGGTAGGCTGACACTAGGGCACTCTAGCCTGGGCAACAAAGTGAGACTCTCTTTAAATAAGTAAATAAATAAAACAAAGAGATTTGTTTGCCTCTCCTTATTACTTGCCACACTGCATCCAAACAACCTGTTCCTGGGTCTGCCTTTCCCACCAAACCTTCAGTTCCTAAGAGGCGGTCACATCTTCACGGTACTGCTCAAGTCTCCTACATAGATATCCCTTGAGTGAAGCAATTATTCTGGTGTCTGGTGAAGTTTATTCCTTATTTCACTTGTTCTTAACCACAATTCAGGTTTCCCCAAATTTAAGCTTTTACAAGCAATCTATAAATAATTTTAATCCCACTCTGTTTCACCAGTTTACTAGGACAATATGTTTAACTTCTCAGATCCTCATGTGCTTAATCTATAAACTGTGAACGGGGAAGTGAGGCAGAGGACATAGTAGAGAAAGAGAAAATAATACCTCTATCACAGAGATTAAGATAATATGAGGATCAAATACTCAGTTCCCTGATGGACTTATAGGATATATATATATATAAAATGTAAATATATGTGTGTCTATGTATATGTTTCTATACATATGTGTGTATATGTGTAAACATATTATATATATATATGGGCTTCATTTCTTTAAAAAGAAAAGAACAATACTTGTGTCTTCCATATGCTCAGTACCAGCATAGAATTTTCTAAAACTGTTTCCCGAGGACCTGACTTCCCTAGGAGCTCTCCGAAAAGTTTTCCACAGTTGAAAGCTTTTGAGGAATGCAGCATAATTACCTTCTGGAGAATTACACAGCACATCAGCATATTAAAGTTTCAAAGGATTCCTGCTTTAACGAACCTAAAGATTTTCCCACTTACTGGAACCCAGACTTTTTTTGCCATGACCCTGGCATCCCTCAAGACACACTTTACAAGCTCAGATCTAAAGAGGCCGGTACAGACTCATCCCTCTCACTCTGCCCCCAGTCCTACAAACGTCCCCATCCTCAGTCATATCTTACTGTGTATGTAGAAGTAGCAGGAAGGTGGGTGTTGGTTTTGCTTTGTGGTCAGCCTCTGAAAAAGCTATGGTGCTGTATCAGGCGTGCCGTACTCACATGTGAATTAAATACTCCCCTTTCAATGGATATTGAGCATCTTTATTTTTTTAATCAAAGTAAAATAATTAAGGGCCTTGTTATTTTAAAGTTTGGTTTATAGTTTTTGTACTTTTTTTACATCTCTGCCGTTTGGGTTTATTTATTTTTGATACAGAGATAAGAGAAGTTTCAGAAAGTCTCTTAAGTGAGTGACACCCCCGTGGTTGTCTGGGCCTTCAATGCTCTCACCTGCACTCCGGGCGGTCCCGCTTCCTGCTACCAGCGCTGAGCAGGACCCAGCTTTGCTAATATTTGTCAGTCAACACTGGCTAATCCATCTATGTTGAATTCAGCCCTCTGTCATCGCAGTTTCACGTTGTACTTACTTTACTCTGACTTTATCCATTAGTCACAGCCTGAGGATATTTTCATCCTGCAGAAATATCCTATGTGGTAATGATGCCTCTTCCTTCAGTTGCACAACTTAAAATAGGAATCTCTCTCTTCAGTTCTAGTACAGAAGGCCAAAATGGTTTTTATAAGTGATAAATACACTACTAGCATAACATGAGACGTGCAAACATGTTTTTAAGAATTTGAATGAAATTTGTCTTCACCATCCACTTCGTCAGTGTCATGTTCCACACCGGAGTCTGCGTTCCTCAGTGGCTGAAATAGCCTCCAATTTAATTTTTTGCCCAAGGGCTTTACCTGGATTGTACATAGTACACTCTCCCATAGTGTTTATTGAAATTAGCTCTTTAAGGTCACATTTCCCAGTGGGAGTTAGTTTTAGGAAAACCTGGATTTCTGAAAAGTAATGAACTCTTAATTCCATAACAACTTGCTGGGTCTTCACATGAGTAGAATCTGAGTCAGCTGGGAGAAATGTCCTGACACTCACACCATTCTTGATACTTTAAATGAGAACTTTCAAGAGAAAACAGAATGTACTTTATATTTGTGTTAGAAAGTTTCTTCATTT